CATTGTGCCCTAATGTATCCTGTTTTATTATTTAAATTTACTCTGTCTAACAGCAGATGATTTTACTTGCGAAGGGACAGCACCAGATTTCAATGGGTTAAAGAGTGCCACCATCAAATATATTAGACCAGGGGAATGAAAGGAAAATATGTTCTTTAGTAAAACCTAACAGTTTATTCCTGACTTTAAGCTTATGTTACGAACGCCATTTTCAAACACATGTAAAATCCATTCCTGGGCGGAACCCGACAGCCTGTGTTAAATATCACATTTGGTGTGGCAACATCATTCAAAGTGATCATATAAAAAAGAGATTAAAAGCTATAAATTACACTGTGTTTTTGTTGTGGTTCCTTCGGAAAACACTTGAATCCGTTAGCCAATTATGAAATTAATACAAAGGTATATTCACAATGATGCCGGGGGCTGTGGCACAGCTAGGTTACTTGACTCCCATTTCAGTGCATTTTGATGACGAGTCGGCATTCCGTGTGGGCTCTCTATGCTTTGATGGTGATGTGGTCAAAATGACTCAAATCTAGTCAAAAATGAATCTAGACTGTCAATCTGTCAGTCCTGGTAGATTGATTTGACTGACTAGATCTGTCTAGATGTCTTGTCTAGACATATTTTGATTTTCGACATAATACAAACTGTGTTAACAATACAAAACTAAACATATAAAATACTGACACTTACCAATGATGGTTTGAACTGTGTGTTATTAGATCTACCATTTCTGTCAAACATTCGACGATTAAAGAAGACACGTGCTGTAAATTTTGAAATTTCCCAAACATTTATTTTATTTTTACTTAAATGTAACGCGCCCGATGTCGCTTGATCAGCGTCAACAGCAAGAACTCTATACTTGATGTAAGTACAACCAAAATGAGAAAATTGGCGGGAAAATGCGGAAATTGGCGTGTCGTTTCAACTTTCAAAATTGGTATAATTAAAAAAGATAAAAAGCTCTTTGACGTTTGTAGTGTGGATAAAGCTCTGCTGGAGTAATACGAGCAACAAAATTGCTGCAACTTGCAACAGAATACGATCATAAAGTAAAAGGGGACGGCTGGGATAAATAGGGGGGGTGGATCACTATTTTTGAGCACGATTGAAGAGGTGGGTCATAGAATGTTAAGCGCAATCATAAGGGTGGGCCATGTAAAAATATGCAGAAGATTGGGCCCCAGTCATTTTTTTGTGTTAAAAATTTCCGCGCAAAGAACAAGATATCTGGTTTTTTGGCTAAGTACTGAAATTTGGTATGAAAAATTAAGATAGAGTCCTTGGAAAGCAATTGCAACGTACTCGTCCGGAAAATTTTTTTACCTAAAAAAGTTATTGTCCGAAAAAAATTTTTTCCGGAAAAAATTGGAAAAGGGGTGGGTCATAATTTTTCAGCACCAATTTAAGGGTGGGCTACAAATTTTCGTGCAGCTATTAAGGGGTGGGCTACCAAAAGTGCAGACACCAAATATATGATTTTCCCAGCCCATCCCCCCTTTTACTTTATGACCGGTTCCTAAAATTGGTACTTTGGTTAATTCCGACAATTCGCACCATTTAGCCTTGAACAAAATATATAAACACGCATGTAAAATATCTTATGCAATCTGGAATTATATACAAATATGGTTTCATATACAAGCATAAAATGAAGCAAACAAATTAGGAACTGTTCCGCCATTTTAAGGGTGATCTATACATCAAATTCAGTTTGTTTGTTTAATATTGTTGTTATAAGTACACTTAAATATATCAGTATACATTTTTCAGTACCACAGAAGGTGCCGTAATTTTTAGACAATGTCTCTGTGATATTTAGAGAAAAATTAATATCTATATAGTCTTCCCCTCATTTAATTCAGGATGAAATTTGGGGGAAACAGTTTCCCCCTCGGCCTTCCTCTTAGCCTACATCCATCTATATATATTTCAAAAAGCATTAATAATTCAGGAGCAAAACACAAAGAAAAATCATAAACGTGTCGTGGTTTTATATGTGATAAAAAATCACGTTAATTTACATAAACTTTAGGTTTGATTTTCTCGGTTTA